TATTTGCTAAAGGGTAAAAACAGATTTGCAAAATTCACAGTTAACTTAAAACAATAGTTTTAAACCTTTTATTCCTAGCCCTTACTGCCTTCAGGAAGGAGAGAACATCTGGTTACTTAAGGAACACAATATGTTCACATTTTCTATGACTTTTGTTTCTAATTGGGTTTTAAATTTTTTTTTTTTTGAATTTGAACAACTAGTTAGAACAATGTTTTTTAATCACTTCATATTTTTCAGACAGTCCTCCTTCTATCTCTCTACTTAATTTAGTGGATTGTATTTGAAAATCTGCTCAGTGGTTCTAATATGATAAAGACAAGAAAATGAGAGTTAGGATTGTGGTCTGAAGAGCTCAGTATAGAAACCATACTTATGGTGAACAGAGAATAGGATGCTACAAACAGATATTTGACATCCAATCTCTACGTACAGCATGCATTTAAAAGAATTTCAAATAGTTCTTGGGCCACTTGTATACATGGCATGGCAGTTTCATTTATTACGGATGCAAATAAATGTTTAATATTAATGGAAAAATTTGGGTGAGACTAGGATTCCACTGGTTTTAAAAATAATGAAGCTACAGCTCTTGTGTAAAAAGGTAGTTGGAAGACCTGGGTTCAACTGCTGGCTCGGCTCTCCCATTGACAAGCTGTGTGACCTTGAATGAGTCTCTAAACTTTACCTTGATCTTCAGTGATCCTCAGTGTGTCATCTATAGAAGGAGGAGCTAGATTAGACTCTTTAGGTTCTTTATAGTTCTGAAAATCTGAGTCTAAGTACGTTAACTATTCTTTGTTATGTCTTCTTCGTTCCATAATATTTGATGGTGGTAACAAGTTTTCAAATAATTCTGACACATAGTAAATTAAAGAACTAGATGCCCTTTAAGTTCAAGTTGTAGGGTTTATTCACCATCTTGTTAAAAATGGCAGCTGCTAAAAAATACATAATTGGCTATATATAGCTTCTGTGGACTGTGGATATGAGTTCCAGAAATACGCTAGGTGAATGAGATCTACCTGGATTAGAGTCATTATGTTGTATTGGAAGAGGTTTAGCATTTGAGTCAGAATTCAATTCCACTATTTTCTTAATACCAACCCCTGCAGGGCACAAAGCTAAAATGCAAAAAAAAAATGACCAGAATCATAAGGAGAAATAATTGATAAAATCAATAAGCAAAAAGCTAAAATACAAGGTACTATGGGACTCGAAGTGGGAAACATGTTCTATCTGATCTTGGGACTGGCATTCTGGAAAAAGTAAAATGGATGCTAGGAACCTAAGGTGGGGATGAGCAGACACAAGGTCGTGAAGCCACTCCAGCTAGTTTGGAAGTTTATATGCATTTTGGCCTTAGGAAAGCCACATAACCTTAACCTCGGTGCACTGAAAAACTAAAGAGGAAAGATAACCTGCTCTGCCTGTCTCACAGCTTGTTATGAAGACCAAATTAAGCACATCAAAGTGCTTGGAACCTGTGAAGGAATATGATCCTATTACTACAGTTTACAGGCCTAGTATTTCAGTCTGTTCAAATGAGAAATCTTTTCACAGTTAAGCCTATATCACATCTGATATAAAACAATTAAAACTCAGTGTCTCAAGCTCTATTTGCAGAGTCTATTCTCAACTCAGGAACTACACTGGGATTTAGGGATAGCAGTAGGACAAAGTGCTATTCTAAAGGCTGAGAAAGAACCACCCCG